TGCTGAGACTGGAGGTGCTACGCCTGTGGGAGCTGAGCCTGGGGGTGCGGAGTCTGGAGGTGCTGAGCCTGGGGGTGCTGAGCCTGGGGGTGCTGAGCCTGGGGGTGCTGAGCTTGGGGGTGCTGTGCCTGGAGGTGCTGAGCCTGTGGGTACTGTGCGTGGGGGTGCTGAGCCTGGGGGTGCTGAGCCTGGGGGTGCTGAGGCTGGGGGTGCTCCGCCTGGAGGTGCTTCGTCTCGCCGAGAGCCACTCTCCCCTCAGGAGCTACGTGAGTGGTTTGCCAGACGCTGTAGGCGTGCTGCTGGTGCTGGAGGTTCTTCGGCTGGAGAGGGTACTACTACCGAGCGTCCCGGCGGTGCTCGTACTGTGGGTGCTGGAGCTGCTGGGTCTGAGGGTTCTCCTGGAGCTGGTGCTACTGAGAGTGTTGACGCTGAGACTGCCGCTGGAGGTCCGACTGGCGGTGCTCCTGCTGGTGCAGCTGGAGGTTCGGGTGCTACTGGAGGTGCTGCTGGAGCGGGTACTCCTGCTGGGGGTATTGGTGCTGTCCCTGCTGTTTCTGGCGTCGCCGCGCGGCCCCGGCCGTACTTCGTTCCGCTCCTGCAGCAGGTTCTTGGTCTTACACCTTCTCCTGGTCCTCCTCCTCCTCCTCCCTTAGAGGGTCCACAGCCTTTCTCGTCACAGTCACAGCTACAGCCTGCCTCCCCTTTGCCTGCTCCTTCTCCCTACGCTGGTCGGACTGAAGGTCTTACTGAGCGTCGTGAACCTGCGTCTCGTCCTGCGTCGCCTGCTCGTACTGCGCGCGCTAGTGGTCGCGGTTCGCGTCAGCGTCCTCCTCCTGTCCCTGGCACGCACCGGATGTCTCTGCGTCCGTCCACTGCTCCTCTGCGTGCCCCTTTGCCTTCTCCTCCTGCTTCCTCTCTTCCTGCTCTTGTCGACCCGGAGTCGGACTTTCTTCGTGCTGCCAGTCCTACTGTCACGCGTCTCCTTGCTACAGCTGTCACTGGCCCTTCTTTCGAGTCTTCTGCTGCGTCTGCCCTTGTCACTGAGCTCGTCGACTTTGCTGCGCGCTGTCGCCTAGACTACGCTGCTAGTATTGTTGCTGAGTCTGAGTCTGCCTGTCCTCCGTCCGTCGGGGGTGAGTGTGCCCTTGGCACGGACGTCCTTGAGGACAGGCAGGAGGAGTTCCAGTGTCTGGCCGCCGCTTCACCTCATCTCGCGTCTGTACTGCTAGCCCCTGAGGGAGACCCGGATGCACTAGACATCCTGACTCCGCGCTCTTACGCGGAGGCGATAGAGGGTCCCTACTCCTCTCAGTGGCAGGCAGCTATGGATGCAGAGATGGCTTCCTGGAAGTCCACAGGCACCTACGTCGACGCTGTTCCCCCTCCTGGGGCGAACATCGTCAGTGGCATGTGGATTTTCAGGGTGAAGCGGCCGCCGGGTTCTCCGCCTGTCTTCAAGGCGCGTTACGTGGCTCGTGGCTTCAGTCAGCGGCAGGGGGTTGACTACTTTCAGACCTTCTCCCCCACCCCGAAGATGACCACTCTTCAGGTACTACTGCACGTTGCTGCTCACCGTGACTACGAGCTGCACTCTCTCGACTTCAACACAGCTTTCTTGCAGGGGAGCCTGCACGAGGAGATCTGGCTGCGTCGCCCACCTGGCTTCACTGGGTCTTTCCCTCCTGGTACCCAGTGGAGTCTCCGGCGTCCAGTCTACGGTCTCCGCCAGGCGCCACGTGAGTGGCACGACACACTGAGGACTACGCTTGCGGCACTTGGGTTTGCTCCTTCTACTGCCGACCCGTCGCTGTTTCTGCGCACCGACACCTCTCTGCCGCCGTTCTACATCCTCGTGTACGTCGACGACTTGGTCTTTGCCACAGCGGACACTGCTGGACTCGCTTACGTGAAGTCCGAGCTGCAGAAGAGACACACGTGCACTGACCTGGGTGAACTGCGCAGCTACCTTGGCTTGTAGATCACCCGGGACAGAGCACGCCGCACCATTACCCATACTCAGTCACACATGGTGCAGCAGGTCCTTCAGCGCTTCGGCTTCACGTACTCCTCGCCTGAGGCCACTCCTCTGCCTACTCGCCACTCGCTCTCAGCTCTGCCTTCGGATGAGTCCGTAGAGTCGAGTGGCTCGTATGTAGAGCTTGTTGGCTGCCTCATGTACCTGATGACCTGCACACGACCTGACCTCGCATACCCTCTTAGCATTCTCGCACGCTATGTTGCTCCTGGGAGACACCGACCAGAGCACATGGCTGCAGCGAAGAGGGTGTTGCGCTACTTGTGAAGTACGTCGGGCATAGGGCTAGTGCTTGGAGGGCGCAGTCCAGTGGTCCTCACTGGGCACGCGGACGCTTCTTGGGCTGACGACCAGGCTACACAGCGGTCGTCACAGGGTTACACCTTCAGCCTTGGTTCCGGCTCTGTCTCGTGGCGGGCTACTCGCTCGTCTTCTGTTCTTGGCTCCAGTTGTGAGGCTGAGATCTACGCCGGGGCTATGGCTGCTCAGGAGCTTCGCTGGCTCACCTACCTGCTGACCGACCTTGGAGAGCCGCCTCGTTCTCCTCCAGTCCTGTACGTAGACAACAAGGCCATGCTGGCCTTGTGTCGAGAGCAGCGACTGGAGCACAGGACAAAGCACATTGCTCTCCGCTACTTTCTTGCTCGTGAGCTGCAGCAGCGTGGACAGTTGCGACTTGCGTACGTGGCCTCTGAGGCCAACACTGCTGATGTCTTCACCAAGGCACTTGCGCCTTGTGATCATCAGCGTTGCTGCACGCAGCTGGGTCTTGTGCCTGTCTTGTCTCACTTGCTCACTTCTTGACCTTGCTTGTACCTTGACCTATATATACTCTTGCTCTTGCTTGCTTGATTCTTGTATATCTCTATATATGATCTTGCATGCGAACTGGCCTTGTGGCCCTTGACCTTGTGCTCGGAATGTGTGGTGACTTTGTGATCCACCCTGAGCTTTGCTTTGCTTTGCTTGACTGGTCTTGTGACCCCTTGTTCTCCCCCACTTTGCCTATGGGGGTGTGTCAGAACATTGTAGCTTACCTGTTTGTGTAGGCTATAGTGGGGTATCCCATAGGGGGTACAACCCAATTAGGGTTTCCTATTTGTACTCACCTCATTCGTAGTCAACTTTTTCACGTTTCTATTTTCACAAGATGAAGGTCAGGCGTTCCCTCTACTCCCTGCTTTCCGCCCACAGAGCACAAATTTATAACTGTTCTCTGTTGTTCAAAATATTGACCTGTTGATTCCGTGCTCGCCTTTCCGTTTCCCTCTGCTGCATCTTCACGCATTGTGTTCCATGTGCATATTGCAGGTGCGAGCCATGGCCTCTCTCCACCACGTGCATCTCGTGCGCCTGCTGGGCTTCTGCCTGGACCAGAACATGGGGACGGGCAGGCAGGAGCAGATCCTTGTGTACGAGTTCACAGGTAACAGGGACCTCCACTACCATATTCATGCCACCAAGCGTGAGTTTCACTGCCGTAAGTTGCACTCGCATGAGTTGCACTGGCACGATGGTGAAATGGTTGCCAGACATTGTTTTTTTTTTTTTTGCATGCGTGAGTTGCACTGGCGCACTGGTTACCAGTCGTTATATATATGTATATATTTGGTTGGTTGTTTGTTTGTTAATTTTTTTCGTCACAGAACATGACACCGTCTCTCATATAACTGCACATTATGCTCCATATACGTGTTTCCTGAACCAGGCCCACTCTCTCTGCCCTGCCCCGCGTCGCGCTGCCCCGCGCACGACCTGCCCTGCCCCGCGTCCTGCTGCAGCTCGCGCACGACCTGCCCTGCGCGTTGTGCCCTGCTGCAGCCCGCGCGTCGCGCCCTACGGCAGCCCACGCGTCGCACTCTGCTGCCCCGCGCGTCGCGCCCTGCTACAGCCAGCGCATTGCGCCCTTCTGCAGCCAGCGCGTCCCGCCCTGCTGCCCCGCACATTGCGCCCTGCTGCAGCCCGCGCGTCGCGCCCTGCTGCCCTGCTGCAGCCCGCGCATCGCGCCCTGCTGCAGACTCTCCACTTGGACGTGTGGGGCCCAGCCCGCGTCCAGGGACAGGGCCACGAGCGATACTTTCTGCTGGTTGTTGACGACTACTCGCGTTACTATGTTTTGCATAGTATATATAAATGTTTGTAGTTAGTGTTAGTGTAGTTATATATTTGCTTGTTTGGTGGTGCACCTTTGCTTGTTCACTATATGTTCTTCACATTCTATAGTGAAACCACCCATTCTCTCTCGCTTGGCACAAACTCTCTCGACATACGTTGGCCTAGGCTCCTAAGCCTAGGCCTTAAACCTTACGCTAGTACGCTGACATGGTATTGATCTTGTAAGATCCTGACCTAAGTTAATGGGCCCACCCAATCGCGGCACGGCGCTCGTTGCGACGGGCGCGGCGGCGAGCTGGCCGCGTTTCCCTCGTCGCGAGCCCGTCGTTTTTCCCTTGTCACTCGTCGCTAAATCCGCCGTGACGCTCGCGACCGTCACGATGGCGAGACCCGTTCCCCCTGTCGTCCCCGTCGCAGTCCCCGTCGAAGTCCCCGTCTCGGCTCATCATCGCGCTGCTGTTGCGGCCCTTCGTCTTGCTCGTTGCGACACTCGGGGAGCCCACGTTTCCCCCCCGCACGTCCGTACGCTCCCCACCACCCATCGTCAGAGCCCCGCCGCTCGTCGCCACCACCCCGTCACTCGTAGCCGCATCCGCGCCACCCGTCGTCACCTCCTCGTCGCCCGTGGTCAGCGATCCGCCGCCCGCCGTCGCTTTGCTCGTCGCATTACCCCCGCCCCCTGCTCGTCACCCCCCCCCCCCCCCCCCCCCCCCCCCCCTCCCCGTCGTGGTGGTTCGCGTGTGCAGCAGCGGTCGCTGTGGAGGGGGTGAGGGAAGAAGGGCAGGGAGTGGCGACCGAACGCTGTGGGGGAGAGGGAAGCGGGGGAAGGGCATGGCGGGACCGTCAGCAGCTACAACGCCAGCGCCACCGCCAGCAGAGACCCCCACCAGCAGAGACCCCGCCAGCAGAGACCCCGCCAGCAGAGACCCCCGCCAGCAGAGACCCCCGCCAGCAAAGAGACCCCGCCAGCAGCTACACCGCCAGCAGAGAGACCCCGCCAGCAGCTCCACCGCCAGCAGAGACCCCGCCAGCAGAGCCCCCGCCAGCAGAGCCCCCGCCAGCAGAGACCCCCGCCAGCAGAGACCCCGCCACGCCAGCAGAGACCCCGCCACGCCAGCAGAGCCGCCGCCAGCAGAGACCCCGTCATGCCAGCAAAGACCCCCGCCAGCAGAGACCCCGCCACGCCAGCAGAGACCCCGCCACGCCAGCAGAGCCCCCGCCAGCAGAGACCCCCGCCAGCAGAGACCCCGCCACGCCAGCAGAGACTCCCGCCAGCAGAGACCCCGCCACGCCAGCAGAGACCCCGCCACGCCAGCAGAGCCCCCGCCAGCAGAGACCCACGCCAGCAGAGAGACCCCGTCAGCAGAGACCCCGCCGGCAGAGACCCCGCCAGCAGAGACCCCGCCAGCAGCTCCACCGCCAACAGAGAGACCCCGTCAGCAGCTTCACCGCCAGCAGAGACCCCGCTGCAGGGACTACCGTGGGTGGGGCAGGGGTGTGGAGGCAGAAAGGGGGACCGGGGTGAGGTTCTGAGGGGCGGCTGACCGGGGGAGTGAGGTTAAGGGGGGGTGGTTGAAAGGGGGTGGGGACTTGGGGGTTGCTAAGAGGGGTTTCGCCACTGGTGGCTCCCCTGTCAGATTATATATTTTATATATATCTGTACAACTGCCTGTAGCTGTAGCTGTAGTGTAGTTATAGTGCATTGCTGTTGGTGGTGCACCTTCTGTTCACTATATGTTCTTCACATTCTATAGTGAAACCAACTCATTCTCAACATTCTCCTTGGCTCAATCTACTCGACTCCCGCTTGGCCTAGGCTCCCTAGCCTAGGCCCTTCACCCGACGTTCCTAAGCTTACGTTCGTTCATTCACATGGTATCGAGCTACTAAGATCCTAACCTAAGTTAATGGGCCCACCCAATCGCGGCATGGCGCTCGTTGCGACGGGCGCGACGGCGAGCTGGCCGCGTTTCCCTCGTCGCCAGCCCGTCATTTTTCCCTCGTCACTCGTCGCTAAATCCGCCGTGTCGCTCGCGACCGTCACGATGGCGAGACCCGTTCCCCCCGTTGCAGTCCCCGTCGAAGTCCCCGTCGCGGCTCATCATCGCGCTGTTGTTGCGGCCCTTTGTCTTACTCGTTGCGACACTCGGCGAGCCCACGTTTCAACCATATGTCGCTCCCCCCCCCGCCCGTCCGTACGCTCCCAACCACCCGTCGTCAGAGCCCCGCCGCTCGTAGCCACATCCCCGCCACCCGTCGTCACCTCCTCGTCATCCGTCGTCAGTGTTCCGCCGCCCGTCGTCAGCTCCACGCCGCCCGTTGCGCACCAGCAGATTTCCCCGCCCGCCCTCTGTTGGCCCCTCTGCTACTGCAGCGGCTGCACATTCCGCGACTGCAGCTGCCGTGCCGTCGCCTTCCCGTCGCCTTCCCCTCTGCGACTCCGGCTGTGAGGGGGGAAGTGGTGTGGAGGGGGTGGCCGCTGTGAGCCACTGCAGCACCACCCTCTGCCCTGCCTCTCCCCTCCCGCGGCTGCTGCTGTGGTGGGGAGGTGGCGGGGACGAGGGGGTGGGGGGGCTGGCTGCCGTGTGAAGGACAATGCAGGGACTACTGTGGGCAGGGCAGGGGTGTGGAGGAAGGAAAGGGGGGAGGGAGTGCGGTTCCAGGGGGCGGCTGAAATGGGGGGTGCGGTTAAAGGGGGGGTGGTTGAGTGGGTGTGGGGATTTTGGGGTTCGTAAGAGGGGTTTCGCCGCGCTTGGCTCCCCCCCCACCTCCTCCCCTCACCACTCTCTCACCCTAAGTTGGAATATACGCTTAGGGGCCTTAGCGTTCAGCGTTTGAACGCTAGCGTGTATACGCAATACGCGAAACGCTAGCGAATACGCTATACGCAACCCAATTTTTTTTTGGGGCAGCCCGCCCGAGCCAAAATTTTTCAAACACACCAAAAGATGCAGAATGGCACGGCGAGTGATTCTGCGACGTCAGATTGCATGTCCGAGATCTAGGGTTGCGGGAAATTGGATTCATGTCCTGGTGTCGCGATTTCACTTTCACATGTTGCACGTTGACATATTGATGGTCACATACATCGAGTCGCATGTGCATGTTTGAACATTTCTATCCCAACACGTTACCGCATTCAAACCCACAACATTCATTCAGTCCAACCCTTCCGACCCAATCCCCCGCCACTCGTCATGCTATTTATCAACTCGTCAGAGCGTCCATCCCATTCAGTAATCCTCTCCCGCTACCAACAACTAGCCTCAGTGCGATGTCATCCAGCAGTCCGCCTCTCACGCCGCATTCCGATCAGTCTGTGGAGAGTTCTATCCCTCGTCCAGAAGGGACCAGGGAGTACCTTCCCGATGTAGTCCACGACGTCTTCAAGCACTTCAGTATCATCAAGCGCGAAGAGGGCAAGGCACAGCAGTACGAGTGCAAGTACTGCTTCAAGGTCTTTTCAGGTGCCGCCATCCGATGCGCTCAGCACCTTAGCTCATGGAAGAAGATGAAGCGCCGCGAGGTGGCGCTTTGCGGGAAGGCACCTGCTGATGTTCGCCTTGAGATCCGCAAGAAGTACGAGGCGCAGGCTGCTGCGAAAGAAGAGAAACAGCGAGCGGTGTTGGCTGCTATAGCGTCGGTCAAAGCCGGTGGCAAACGGGCCCGCATGACCGACTACCTCGAGGGCGACGTTGCTGCGGCAAAAAGTGAAGCACATGAAGGTCTTGCGCTCATAATTGCCGCATGTCGCCTCCCGGAGAACCTGGTCGAACATCCGCTCTTCGTCAACTCTATGTGAGAAGGAACGAGAATGGATGAACTATGAATGAACTGAGTACAAGTACTAACTCTAATTGGGTTGTACCCCTTATGGGCTACCCCACTATAGCCTACACAATAAGCACAAGCTATATGTTCTGACACACCCCCATATGCAAAGTGGGGGAGAACAAGGGGTCACAAGACCAGTCAAGCAAAGCAAAGCAAGCTCAGGGTGGATCACAAAGTCACCACACATTCCGAGCACAAGTTCAAAGCCACAAGGCCAGTTCACATGCAGGAGTACATATATATAAAGGACTAGACAAGCAAGAGCAGGTGTATATATATATGCAACAGTACAAGCAAGGTCAAGAGGTGAGCAAGTGAGGCAAGACAGGCACAAGACCCAGCTGCTTGCAGAAGCGCTGATGATCACAAGGTGCAAGTGCCTTGGTGAAGACATCAACAGTGTTGGCCTCAGAGGCCACGTACGCAAGCCGCAACTGACCACACTGCTGTAGCTCACGAGCAAGAAAGTAGCGAAGGGCAATGTGCTTTGTTCTATGCTCCAGTATCTGCTCTCGACACAAGGCCAGCATGGCCTTGTTGTCTACGTACAGGACTGGAGGAGAACGAGGCGACTCTCCAAGGTCGGTCAGCAGGTAGGTGAGCCAGCGAAGCTCCTGTGCAGCCATGGCCCCGGCGTAGATCTCAGCCTCACAACTGGAGCCGAGAACAGAAGACGAGCGAGTAGCCCGCCACGAAACAGAGCCGGAACCAAGACTGAAGGTGTAGCCCTGTGACGACCGCTGCGTAGCCTGGTCGTCAGCCCAAGAAGCGTCCGCGTGCCCAGTGAGGACCCTTGGACTCCGCCCTCCAAGCACTAGCCCCATGCCCGACGTACTGCACAAGTAGCGCAACACCCTCTTCGCTGCAGCCATGTGCTCTGGTCGGTGTCTCCCAGGAGCAACATAGCGTGCCAGAATGCTAAGAGGGTATGCAAGGTCAGGTCGTGTGCAGGTCATCAGGTACATGAGACAGCCAACAAGCTCTGGATACGGGCCACTCGACTCTACGGACTCATCCGAAGGCAGAGCTGAGAGTGAGTGGCGAGTAGGCAGAGGAGTGGCCTGAGGCGAGGAGTACGTGAAGCCGAAGCGCTGAAGGACCTGCTGCACCATGTGTGACTGAGTCAGGGTAATGGTGCGGCGTGCTCTGTCCCGGGTGATCTGCAAGCCAAGGTAGCTGCGCAGTTCACCCAGGTCTGTGCACGTGTGTCTCTTCTGCAGCTCCGACTTCACGTAGGCGAGTCCAGCAGTGTCAGCTGTGGCAAAGACCAAGTCGTCGACGTACACGAGGACGTAGAACGCCGGCAGAGAGGTGTCGTTGCGCAGAAACAGCGACGGGTCGGCAGTAGAAGGAGCAAACCCAAGAGCCGCAAGCGTAGTCCTCAGTGTGTCGTGCCACTCACGTGGCGCCTGGCGGAGACCGTAGACTGGACGTCGGAGACTCCACTGGGTACCAGGAGGGAAAGACCCAGTGAAGCCAGGTGGGCGGCGCAGCCAGATCTTCTCGTGCAGGCTGCCCTGCAAGAAAGCTGTGCTGAAGTCAAGAGAGTGTAGCTCGTAGTCACGGTGAGCAGCAACGTGCAGCAGTACCCGAAGAGTGGTCATCTTCGGGGTGGGAGAGAAGGTCTGAAAGTAGTCAACTCCCTGCCGCTGACTGAAGCCACGAGCCACGTAACGCGCCTTGAAGACTGGCGGAGAACCCGCCGGCCGCTTCACCCTGAAGATCCACATGCCACTGACGATGTTCGCCCCAGGAGGGGGGACAGCGTCAACGTAGGTGCCTGCGGACTTCCAGGAAGCCATCTCTGCATCCATAGCTGCCTCCCACTGAGAGGAGTAGGGACCCTCTATCGCCTCCGCGTAAGAGCGCGGAGTCGGGATGTCAAGTGCATCCGGGTCTCCCTCAGGGGTAAGCAGTACGGACACAAGATGAGGTGAAGCAGCGGCCAAGCACTGGAACTCCTCCTGCCTGTCCTCAAGGACGTCCGTGCCAAGGGCACACTCACCCCCGACAGACGGAGGACAGACAGACTCAGACTCAGCGACAAGACTAGCAGCGTAGTCTAGGCGAAAGCGAGCAGCAAAGTCGACGAGCTCAGCAACTAGGGCAGACGCAGCAGTGGACTCGAAAGAAGGGTCAGTGACGACAGTAGCCAGGAGACGCATGACAGTAGGACTGGCAGCACGAAGAGAGTCCGACTCCGGGTCGGCAAAAGCAGGAAGAGAGGACTCAGGAGGAGAAGGTAAAGGGGCACGCAGAGGAGCAGTGGACGGACGTAGAGACATCCTGTGCGTGCCAGGGACAGGAGGAAGACGCTGACGCGAACCACGACCACTAGCACGAGCAGCACGGACAGGCGAGGCAGGGCGAGACGCAGGCTCACGACGCTCAGTAAGACCTACAGTAGGACCAGTGTAGGGAGAAGGAGCGGGCAAAGGGGAGGTAGGCTGCAACTGTAACTGTGACGCGACTGGCTGTGGACACTCCTAAGAAAGAGGAGGACCAGTAGAAGGCGGAAGACCAAGAACCTGCTGCAGGAGTGGAAGGAAGTACGGTCGAGGTCGCGCGGCGACGCCAGACACAGCAGGTAAAGCACTAGTACCCCCAGCAGGAGCACCCGGTCCAGGTGCACCTCCAGCAGCGCCAGAACCTCCAGCAGTACCAGGAGTACCCCCTGCAGGACCGCCAGCAGTAGTCTCAGCTCCAACACCCTCAGCAGCACCAGCTCCAGTCGAACCCGCAGGCCCAGCAACTCCAGTACTCCCAGCACGAGCACCTCCGGGACCCACGACAGCAGCACCCTCTGTAGCCGAAGAACCTCCAGCACAAGCAGCACAGCTCCAGCGCCGGGCAAACCACTCGCGCAGTTCCTGTGGAGAGAGCGGCTCCCGCAGAGACGAAGTACCCGGAGAACCTCCAGGCGGAGCACCTCCAAGCTCAGCACCCCCAGGCTCAGCACCCCCAGGCTTAGCACCCCCAAGCTCAGCACCCCCAGGCGCAGCACCTCCAAGCTCAGCACCCCCAGGCTCAGCACCCCCAGGCTCAGCACCCCCAGGCGCAGCACCCCCAGGCTCAGCACGCCCAGGGTCAGCACCCCCAGTCTCAGCACCACCAGGCTCAGCACCCCCATGCTTAGCACCCCCTTTGTCAGCACCCCCAGGCTCATCACCCTCAGCAGCACCAGAGTCACCAGTGACCTCGACAGGCTCGACTGCGTCTACCTGGGACACACCTGAAGGGGTTGGACCCTGAGGGGGAAGGGGGTCTACCGGAGGGGGACCTGGTACAAGGAAGAGCGGCAGCGGGGGGAGGGACGAAGTGTGGTAGGGGAAGAGGCGGTAGTAGGGGACCGACTCGTCAAACGTGACGTCCTGGGAGGACAGAACACGGCGAGAGGTGGGGTGGTAGAACTGCCACCTAGGCGCGTCAGGGGGGAACCCCAGGAAGACGCAAGGAGCAACATGAGGGGACAGCTTGTCCGCAGACAAGTCGCGGACAAACGCCCGAGATCCCCAGACCCGGAACGCCGACGCATCGCCAACCTTCCCCGTCCACAGCAAGGCTGGGCAGGTCTCCAGCCTGGAGACCCTGGGGTGTAGGTTGAGCTGATGCGCCGCGTACCTCACCGCAAACGGCCACATAAAATGGGGAGCAGCCGCATGCATCATAGACGTATGAGCGACGTCCATGACCATGCCAATGCGGCGCTCAGCAATCTCATTTTGCTGCGGGGAGTCCGGAAGCGTGAAGGTCTGACGGATTCCTCGTGCGCGACAGTAGGCTCTCAGAAGGCCAGAAGAAAACTGTCCGTCTCTGTCCGAGTGCAGACGCAGAACAGGAAAGTCCGAGCCAAAGCTCTGCCTGAGCTGGAGACGAGCTGCGCGGATCCAGTCGATCAGCACCTCAGTGACATCACCCTTGCTGCGCAAGGGGAAGACTGCGGTGTAACGCGAGTAGTCGTCAACCACCAGCAGAAAGTAGCGCTCGTGACCCTGACCACGGACGCGGGCTGGGCCCCACACGCCATGTGAAGCGTCTGCAACGGGGCCTCTATCGGAGGAAACTGGGAGGAGTGAGGGGCAGCCCGCTGGGGCCCCTCGACGCAAGGGACACAGGTAGGGCCAGGGCCCTGAGGAAGGGGAGGGAGGGACCGGGGGAGATCAGAAACAAGAAGACGGGAGGCCATGCCTCTGAGCCGAAGCAGAGAGGGGTGACCAAGGCGGTGGTGCCACAGGAGAGTCTCGTGAGACAGGAGACGACATGAACAGGGGGCAGACTCAGGACCAGACCTGGACGCTGCAGCAAACACCTGACCCGACGCAGCTACCCTACCAGACTCAGCAACTGGAGGAGACGCACTGGTCAGTGTGTACAGGCTTGACCTCGGCTGACGGGTAAACGTAGCCAGGTGTCGGCTTGTGCTAGCCTCTGTGCAGTGCGTCACCCGCTGACGCCCAGGAGTGAACTGGTGTACTCCCCCATCCTGTAGGTCAGCACCACTCACCAGGTTCGTAGAGAACGAGGGGAGGTAGAGACCACACAGGGTGCCTGAGGGAGCCGCCGGACACGGGAGAACCGTGGAGAAGTGAGACAGGACAGGACCCCCAGAGGGGTCAGCCAGAGACACCGCAACCGGCCGACTAAGCGGCGTGAGTGTGGTGCGGTCCCGAAAGAAGGAGCGAGAAGCCCCAGAGTCAAGGGTGAAGGTGAGGGAGGCTGAAGCCGACGCAGTACCTGAGAGCGCAGAATCACCAGTACCTGAGGACGCAGAAGCACTAGCACCTAGAGCAGCAGCGTCGCAAGCACCTAGGGAAGCCGCCTCACCAGTACCTAGAGCAGCAGTCTCAATGCCCGGATCAGGCGGGAAACACCAGTAACAGTCACCCTCATCACTAATAGACACAGCATACATGGCAGAAAGGATAGCATAAAAATCAAGATCATAGATGGCAACTCCCGCCCTAGACAGCTCGCCCCAGCGAGGGATCTCTGTGGCCTCCGGGAACTGGTGACGCCACGCGTCCGTCAGGCGGCCAAAGCAGCGCTGGGTGGGGTGCGTACCCCCACACTGCTCACCCGCACGATCGCTGGTGCGCAGGACGTAGGTGCACGGACCAAACAACCCACCCCGCTGGCGTGCAGTGTACCACTCACGGAGCTGCTGAGGGGACAGGGTCTCACGACCGCGCTGCTGCTGCTGGCGCGGACCACCACCGGAGCCACTCCTTTGCGTAGACCCGCGACCAGCTCCACCGCCACCCCCGCCGCCTCTGCCGCCTCCGCTACTGCCGTCGCCTCCGCCGCCTCCTCCACCGCCACCACCTCCGCCACCTCCGCTCCCACCGCCACCGCCGCCGCCGCCTCCGCCTCCACCGCCGCCACCGACACCTCCACCCCCACCTCCACTCCCACCGCCACCCCCACTCCCCCCGCCGCCTCCACCTCCACCTCCACCGCCCCCGCTCCCTCCTCCAGTGCCTCTGCCCCCCTTGCCCTTGCCAGAGCGGCGTCTCCCGCTAGGGGCAGACGCCGCACCGGCCGACTCAAGACCAAGGAGGTCGGCCGCAGCAGCAGAGGCAACGGAGGGCAGAAGGGGGGAGGGTGAACACCCCTCAAAGATGGGGGTGCGCGGATCACCACGAGAGGCCCCTACAGCGACTATGCTCTTCTCGGCCACTAGGAGGGACTTCTCGAGGAGGTTAACAGTGAGGGTGGTGGGACAGACTGAGAGGAAGTGGTCCTTGACTACGCGAAGGGAGTCAGGGAGGCGAGTGACTAAGTAGTAGAGAGTGATGTACATGGGGGGGGGGGGTTCTTGGCGCAGAAGTTAGCAGGAAGCGCAGCGCGGTAGCGAGTGTCACTAGTGCGGAGGTGCGTAATGAGGTCAGCGACTGTGGGAAAGGCAGCAAGGTCAAGGAAGAGGTACGGTAGCATGAGGCGGCTCAGTGCAGTAGTGGAAGGGGAAGAGTAGCGCGCAACTACAGCGTCGTACAAGGTCTGAGCACTCTTGTACTGACTAAAGTGCGTGCGCTCAGTGGTAGGCAGGTGGCGACGCACAGCAAGACGTGCAGCAGCATCGCGAGTGGCCCACTGTGAGCGAACAATGGCGTCGGCATCGGCAGCAGGGGCCCGGGAAGCACCAGAGGTGAGGTCAAAGAGGGAGAGACCGTCTGCCCTATCGCACTGTAGGAAAAGCTGCAGGTCATCTACCCAGACGTCAAAGTCAATGGCCCGACCCTCAGCGTCAAAAGTGAGAACACTGGGGGTAGCCATGACAGCAGTAGACTAGCAGCGCGAACTGTAGAGCAGGGGCAGTGCGGTGACAGAGGCGCTGCGCTCACCAGACTGGGCGGTTCGGGCAGCTCGGGCGACTCGGCAGCATTTGCGGCTCGGTGGCACCCGCGGCTCGGCTCCTCAGCTGCTCAGGCGGCTCGGGCGGCTCGGGCGGCTTGAGCGGCTCGGGTGGCTTAGCGGCGCGGGCGGCTCGGCTGCGTAGGCGTTCGGGCGGGGCCGTAGGTAGGGCGACGGGGCCGGGTCGAAGGTAGGGCGACGGGGCCGGTGCGCAGGTAGGGCGACGGGGCCGGGGCCGGGGCGCAGGTAGGGCGACGGGGCCGGGGCCGGGTCGTAGGTAGGGCGACGGGGCCGGGGCCGGGCGGTAGGTAGGGCGACGGGGCCGGTATGTTTTGACACTATGCACCTGGTCGCCCTCGCCGGGATCGGCTACCTTCCGCCACGTCGCAAGTACATTGGAGGTGCCGGACTGCTCGCTTGCCGCAAGGGTATTGAGAACGGCTTGATGGGGATCAAGGCTAGCTGGAAGAAGACAGGTGTTACCATCGCGTCTGACATGATGACAGACAAGTGTGGCAGGCTGCAGGCGAATGTCCTCCTCGTCAACGACGCGGGCGCTGTCCTGAAGGAGTGTGTGGACTGCAACATGGAGAAGAAAACAGGGGGGTACATCGCGGGGATACTGAAACCCGTTGTGGAGGAAGTCGGACCCGAGAACGTCGTCGCGTTCTGTATGGACGGGGGTTCCAACTACGCGTCAGCGTGCCGGAAGCTGATTAAGATGTGGCCCCACATTCAACAGGTTCCATGTGCCACCCACGTCATGGACCTGATGATGGAGGACGTGGGAAAAATGGGGTGGGCAAAAAAGGTGGTTGACCGTGGCGGTGAGATGAGCTCCTTCACCCGCAACCACCATTGGACGCGCGGTTACTTGCGGGACCGTAAGTTGGTGGAGGGGAAGGTGTTGCAGCCGTTGAAACCCGCGGGGACCCGCTTTGGGACCCAATACATTGCTATCTCCCGTCTCTGTCAGCTTTGCCCCACCCTTACGCAGATGGTCGTCAGTGACGAGTGGAAGGTGTGGGCTGCTGGATCGCGCAAGGAGGTTGCAGAGAAGTTCGCCGCGCAGGTACTCGACACGGCGTGGTGGAAAACTGCCGAGTTTTTCACCAAGCTGATGCAGCTCCCTTTCAAGGCGATGCGCATGACTGACGGGGAGGCAAAAGGGATGATGGGCAGGATCTATGACGTGATGCTTCAACTCACGGAGGACGTTGAGGCTCTCGTGGACGCGGATGAGGAGCAGTTGTGCATCAGCGATAAGAAGCAGATCTGCCGCATCCTCAAAGACCGGTGGGACGAGAGCCTCGCGTGCGCCATGCACGTGGCAGGCCGCATCCTCAACCCCGCGAACCAGGAAGAGGACATTTTTGGCGGCGACGCCGAATGCACGCGTGTCTTCAAGGCGTTTCTTCACCAGCATGCGGGGTTCCTCGTCGGCCACGACGGGAAGGGGAGGGATGCGGCCTGCGATTACTTGGTTGAGCTGGGGGACGGGCTGAGGGATTTCCTGGACATGAAGGGTAGTTTCGGGATGGCAGAGGCTGTGGCACAAAGGGAGATGGTGAAGGCGGGAAAATACAGCATGGTGAAGTGGTGGCAGTGGAACGGAACAGATGCCCCTCGCCTTGCGTCCCTCGCCATCCGGATTCTCTCGCAGCCCGTCTCGGTTTCACCCTGTGAGCGTGGCTGGTCATCGTGGGAGTCCGTCCACACTGCCCGCAGGAACCGCTTAGGATCCGCCAAGTGTGCGGATTTGGTGTTTGTTGCGCACAACTGGAACGTTGTGCGCAACTGGCACACGCGCAAGGATGTGATGCCGAATGTTGTGTGTGGGAATGAGTCGGAGCACCCCATCCCCGAAGGTTACAATGTGCTGGATGAGCAGGAGGAGGAGGAGGAGGAGGGTGAGGATGAGGACGCTATCTTGGAGGACGAGTATGAGTAGTGGGTAACGAAGTGGGGGGGGGAGGAGGGTGGGTATAGTAGGGAGAGAGTAGTATGACTCGTAACTGGATTTGTATGGCATGGCTAATTTTAGTATGGGGAAAAAAAAAAAAACAGAAACACATCCCGCATGAAACCCCACTGGACCAAATCCCGGGAGGGGTTTTTTACCCTGCCCGGGAAACTTTTTTCCATGCCCAGAAATGCGTATCCTGGATCTGACCACTCTAGCGTTCAGCGTTCACACGCTAGCGTATATACGGAACGCGTATATACGCCAAACGCGTTTATGCCAACCTAGCTCTCACCTCCCCCTTTGTAAAAGGGGAAGAGGGTTTCGCCACGGGTGGCTCCCCCTCACCTCCTCTCCTCATCCCTCTCTCTCTCACCTCCTCCTTGGTACTTCTCTCCTCTCCTCTCCTCTCTCCCTCTCACCTCCTCCACCTCACTTACCTCTCTGACGTCTTCCATTGTGCCAGCTATACCCATTCAGGGGGTGTTTCCTGCACTTGGTTCTTGCTTCAGGCAGCTAGGGGGTGTGTTAGATTATATATTATATATATATCTGTACAACTGCCTGTAGCTGTAGCTGTAGTGTAGTTATAGTGCATTGCTGTTGGTGGTGCACCTTCTGTTCACTATATGTTCTTCACATTCTATAGTGAAACCAACTCATTCTCAATATTCTCCTTGGCTCAATCTACTCGACTCCCGCTTGGCCTAGGCTCCCTAGCCTAGGCCCTTCACCCGACATTCCTAAGCTTACGTTCGTTCATTGACACTTCGCTCGGCCGTCACCATCGTCTCTGCCGCCACCTGGCTCGATGCTTCGCCAGGTTCTTAGTCTCCCGTTACAGCCAGGCTACCCACTGCCTGCTCCCTCTCCTTACACTGAACAGACAGGAGGTCTTACTGAGCGTTGTGAGCCTGCGTCTCGTCCTGCCTCGCCTGCTCGCGCTGGTCGTCGTGTTCCTCGTGAGCGTCCTCCTCCTGTCCCCGGCACGCACACTATGGCACTTCTTCCTTCCTCTTTTCCACAGTGTGTTCCTCTGCCGTCTCCTCCTGCATCCTCTCTTCCGCACGTTCAGGACCCTAAGTCTGACTTGGTTTGTGCTGCCAGTCCTGCTGTTACGCGTCTTCTGGCCACTGTTGTCATTGACCCTTCGTTTGAGTCTGCTGCTGCGTCTACCTTAGTCGCTGAGCTTGTTGACTTTGCTCCTGCTTGTCGTCACGACTACGCTGCTAGTCTTGTTGCTGAGTCTGAGTCTGTTTGTCCTCCGTCCGTCGGGGGTGAGTGTGCTCTTGGCACGGACGTCCTTGAGGACAGGCAGGAGGACTTCGAGTGTCTTGCAGCCGCTGCACCTCATCTCGTGGCCATGCTGCTTGCCCCTAAGGGAGACCCAGATGCACCAGACATCCCGACCCCGCGCTCTTACGCTGAGGCGATCACGGGTGAGTTTTTTCTCAGTGGCAGACAGCCATGGACGCACAGATGTGTTAGAGACTAAGGACGAAGTCTAGGAAGCTTAGAGGCCGAAATATCACAAAATTGTTGGTCTCAATTTCTGGACAGAATTGTCGCGCTCACGAGAAACGCCGTCGACAAAAAATGCACTGTCAAAACTTCACCAATTTGGGATATGTTGGGGCTTCAGCGCGTAGCTACAATTCCCAATTCGAATCGTATCAAAAGATGAAGTACATCCCGAGTTTTGATTTTCGGCGCACTAGGGGGTATGCTGCCAATAAACTTAACTCACTCACAATTGTTCTCACAAGTTCACACAAGAAAGTTAGAGTGGCAATTAACCAGGCAAGAGGGAAGAGGAGGACGAGAGCGAAGGTCCCAAGAGAGTCCCCAACCAAGGAAACCCCATGCCACACAATTCCCCTCTCTATGGGTACCCCAACTTTGACATTTGTCACTTTCCCAGCCACCACAATCCACCTCACCCAAGTTGGCCACACTTGCCAACCCAATTTGGTTTCTCCCAACCACTTGGAAGCATCTACAGTGATGGGGACGAATTTCCTAACCCCCAAAAGTCTGTACCCCTTATGGAGTCAACCCCGCAACTTCCCATAGTCACCACAACCAAATATCAAAAGCATACGAACTTCTAACGTTCGTAACTTTCTTGTTCGTGCTCCGATTGAAGCAATACTTGGTTCGTCGGAAAGCTCTTGAGCAGGAAGGTCACTTCAAATATCTGCTCAAACCAAATAACATTCACACATACTCTGAAAAAACAAACCACATCAAACACAAATTCTTGCATACGCTCACACTACGCATGCAACGCACGAACATGTGATGAGAGGCAGACAGACGTGAATGCAAGCGATAGCATCACATAACAAACTCCCCCTCTGGCTGCCTCATCATCCCACATGCCATAGCTCAAGCATGCATCCTCAATGCAAACTCATCCCAGCAAGCTCCATGCGCTTCCAATGCTCAGGTTCAGCCAGGCGCTTGGTGAGAATGTCTGCCGCCTGCTCATGGGTCTTCACAATCTCCAGCCGCACCTCCTTGTCCAGGAGCCTCATCACCCAATGCCATTTAGGCCTGATGTGTTTGGTCAGCCCATGAAGAGAACCATTCTTGGCTAACTTCATTGCCGACTCATTATCACAGAACATCACAGTCGGCTCCTTCTGGCACACTCCGATCTCCTCCAACAAACGCCTCAGCCACACTACCTCCTTAGCCCCATGATGCATGGCCATGTACTCTAGCTCACACAAGGACTGCCCCACCTCATTCTTCTTCTTGCTGCGCCAGCTCACTGCACCACCTCCAAACATGCACACATAGCCTCCAATGCTGGTGCCATCCGTCTTCACAGAGTTAAAGCTAGCGTCAGTGTAGCAAGTCAAGAGCATCTCCCCCTTGCTCAAATCAGCTGCACCCCTTTGCAGCCTCTGTCGCACAACACTATACTCCAAACCAACTGACGTCGTTGCACTCACATAGCGGACCAACCTCTTGGCTGCTTCCAGCTGCTCATGACTGGGGCGTGAAACCACACTGGCAAGCGTGGATGTTGCAATGTCAGGCCGCTTGTGGTTGGCCGCATAGTTGAGCGCCCCAACCATGGAATGAAACAGCTTTCTCTCACTTTCTCCCACCACCTCCTCATCAACACAGGGCTCCACTGTGAACCCTGAAGGCAGTGGGGTGGCTGGCTTCCCTCCATCTTGCAGCCCATACTTCTCGGCCAGCCCCTCACAGTACTTTGGTGCAACCTCAACATTCCCTTGTCGAGGTACCTCTCCACATGCATCCCCAGGTAGTACTTCACATCTCCCATCTTCGAGCACTTGAACTGCATATCCAGCATCTCCTCCACACACTCAATCATCGCAGACGACTCGGAGAAGAGCACAATGTCGTCCACACACACCAGGAGCATAAGGAACTGCTCCTTCTCTTGCAGCAGGAATAAGTTGTGGTCGCACTCACTCTTCTTGAACCCCCCAGCTATCAGTGTCTCCTCCAGCTTGTGGTACCAGGCGCGAGGAGCCTGCTTCAGGCCATAGATGGCCTTCTTCAGCCTGCACACCCTGCCGCTCCCATCATCCAATCCCTCAGGTTGTAGCAAGTACAGCTCCTCCAGAATCATCCCATTGAGGAAGGCGGTGGTAATGTCCATCTGCTTCACCCGCCATCCACGGTTTGCTGCCATTGCCAATGACACCCGCAATGTTGTGCCTTTCCCCATAGGAGCAAAAATCTCGTCAAAGTCCTTCCCCTTTGTCTGCTGAAACCTCTTAGCCACAAGCCTTGACTTGTAGTGGGTCAGCGCCCCATCAGGTCCGTACTTATGCCTGAAGATCAACTTGGAAGAAATTGCCTTCTTCCCAAGAGGCAGCTCACACAGCTCCCACGTCTCATTCTCCAGTAGAGAGTCATACTCCTCCTTCACACTCCGCTTCCACCTTTCAGCATCGGGCCCGCTCAGTGCCTCAGATAGCGTCTTGGGCTCAGGGACCGCTGCCCAGTAGCAGTGTGCTATCTCTTCCTCATCACACTACTCAGCCACACTCCCACCCCTTACCACCTTTGGCTTGCCAAAGCTCGGATAGGTCAGCCGGTTAGGAGGGCGCACATCCCTCCTAGGACAGTCAGCCGGACGTGCGGCACCTTGTGGAGCACCTTGCTGCTGCTGCTGCTGCGACTGCTGCTGCTGCTGCTCCTCCACCTCAGGTTCTCCCCCATCCTCAGTCACCCAGAGATCTCATCCTCTGAGACAGTGACCTGCACTTGCCTCGAAGGCCGCTGCACCTTATCAGCCTCAATGATCAGCGATGTAGTAGAAAGCTTCTGCTGCTGCTACTTCCACTCCCCATAGTACAAGGACTCGAGGAACTTCACATCCCTCGACACAGTCAGCTGCTGGCTGGTCAAGTCCCATATCTGCCAGCCCTTGTGATCCTTAGCAAGCCCCAAGTCCACACCTCATCTCCCAGAAGCCTCCAGCTTTCCCCTCTTCTCCTTCGGCACATGAAACACCACCATGCAGCCGTAGGCTCTCAGCATGTTGACTGCTGGCGCACTCCCATACCACTTGGTGTAGGGGACCCACTGCTTGTCCCCCACAGTCGCCAACACCCGGTTCTTCACAAGAGCGACCTGCTGCAGTGTAGTCACCCAGAACGGATCCGATAGCCCTGCACGCCCAAGAAGAGTGCGAGCACCTTTCTGCAGGGTCCAGTTGAACCGCTCAGCCACGCCGTTTTGCTGAGGGTTGTAGGGCGCCGTGAGCTGATGCTGGATCCCCTTCTTCTTCAGCACCGCCTCAAAATCAGCACCAATGAATTCTCCCCCGTTGTCAGTGCGGATCACCTTCACCTTGTGTCCGCTCTCCCTTTGAGCTCTCGGCATCCACTCCTTAAGAACAGCCGCTGCCACCTCCCCCTTAATCTTCAGAGGGTAGACTCACACCGCACGCGTGTGGTCGTCCACAATGGTCAAGAGATAGCGGCTGCCCGAGAGAG